AGTATTCCGATACTGTGTCTCCAGTTATAAATGAACAGGAAGTGCTCTAAATTACTTCCTGTCCATTCATAATAGTAAACGGATACCACAATCTCTTCCATTGATGAACAGGAAGCCTCTGTACTGAGTGCCTCCTGCTTATTGAGTGCTGTGACTGCATAAAATGGAGGACTTTCACTGCCACCCTAAACGCGGCTCCCACCTCCAATGCGAACACCCACCCTGTAACACTGTGCGTTCCAGTGCGGTGCAAATGCAAAGAAATTGTGCATGCAGTTTTAGTCTAAAGTAAACTTTGGAACTTTTGTAAGAATGGTATTTATTTTTACCAAATCAGCCAACTAATTGATTATGGAAATTATCGTTAGTTGCAACCCTACTACACAGGGCTCTAAATGAGTGCCGTCAGTACAGAGGCTTGGGAGGAGCTGTTGCAGCTCTGCTTTGATTTTAGTAGATTACTCCTGTAGTGATCTATTGCTGGTTGATTGCCAGGTTGGAAGCTGAATGAGGTCCCCTCTGGCCTGATCTAGACCTTCCATATAGTATAGAAAACGCTTTTTTTTTTTTTTTTTCTTCTTCAAATGTGCTATCGAATTTAAGCTCCATCAGTACCAAAAAAAGACAAATTGTGAGAAATATGTGGGGGTAGAGTAAACATATTAAAAGGTATTTAGTATAAAACCGAGGTATTTCCCTAGGACTCCAGGATTGAGGGAGAAAAATGCTTCAAAAGGTTTGCGTGCAAGTGCTTCATTCTTTTTGTGCCAAGGAATTGTACATAAGCTGTTTACATACAATATCACAAATCATTTTCAAATTTGCTGTTTTTTCTCTATTTGACGGAAGGCAGAAAAGCACATTGGAGGGCATTTTAGGCAAACTCTATACTTCGTTGCAAATCAGGCTGCCACTCCTTCAGAAAAGTCTCTACAACAGGCTTATAGTCCTGTGTGTCTGAGACCGATATTACTAAAGATGCAAATTATTTTCATTCTAAATAGACTCGATATTAAAGTAAAACCTTAACACCCTTTCGCTAAAAATCACATCAGCTTTCAAATAGAGTTCATCTACTTCCTGGTCCACTTCTGGCACAAATTTTGTAATCGTGCCCAAGCATTGCATCCTGGGAAGGTTAAATCAGCAGAGTGTTGCTGGGAAATCTCATCTGTAATCTCATGAGATCTCAATGAAAGGCATTTTCCTCCCCTGATATGTTTGGTCATATGTCCTAGTAACATGGTCCAGAGTTCCAGGAAGTAAAGGGATCTAGTAACCTGTCCTTTGTTAACATGGACACTGTTTAGAAGACTAGGGGGGAAAAAAGATTAAGGTATGCAAAGAATACAAAGCCTGCAATTATCTAGAAGTATCTGTTTGTAGATTGTCATTACTAAACATTTCTAAAAGTGTGTTTATTTTAACCACTTGATGACCGGGGTGTTAAACCCCCTTCCTGTCTAGGTCATTTTTCAGTATTCAGCACTGTTTTAATTTGACTGACATTCAGCCATACCAAGATTAATTTTATATCATTTTGGGACAGATAGCTTTCTTTTGGTGGTATTTAATCACCACTGGGGGTTGTTGTTTTTTTTTTTACTACATTATGGAAAACAGGTGGTTATTAAAAGTTGTTGGTAAATGTTCCTTTATGTACATAATCTTTCTTTGTAAATTTAGGCCAAAACGTATTCTACTACATGTCTTTGGTAAAACAAAAAAAGCAGGACTCTGACTGAACTGACGAACTGGCACTGATGGCAGGCAGGACTTTGACTGGCAGGCTGGCACTGCAGCCAAATTTCTACTAGAACATGTGATGGATAACAAAGCATTGTTTGAACTGGTTGTCATTGTCTCCTCTCCTCACAAACTCAGTGTGAGAGCTGAGGAGAGAAAGCTGGAAACTGCTACAATGTTTCCATTTAGTGATCTGCTGTAATTGGTCACAGCGATCACACGGAACAGAGCCGATTTCACTGGCTCTGCACAAAGTTGTTTAAAGAGAACTATGGGGTTTTTCCCCATAGTTCTCCTAAGGGTAATGGGAGGACACAAACTAGCGTCCTCCCGTCACCCAAAGCTCAGTATACCGTGAGCTGCGGCTCGCGGGATACTGAGACGCTGCAGCTGAAATGGATCCCGACAATTATGTCTGGATCCACCCAGCTGCGTGAGTGACAGCTGGCTCTGCCTATCTAGAGACAGAGCCAGCTGTACCCGCCCCTCCACCGTCCGTTCCGCCAGTCAGCGCTTAAGGATCGAACAGGGGAGGGGGGAATCCAGTCCCTCCCCTGTCACGGCTCTCTGCAGTGACAGGATCGAGAAGTGAGCGAATGCCGGTATGTGTTTGCTCACTTCCCGATCTACTGAGCAGACAGTTTCATTGTCACAGGTCGGCTAGAACTAGTTCTCCTTTTTTAAACTACACTGTCCAATGGACAGTGTGTTTTTAAAGGTACTTACTCGTCTGAGGGAGCCAAAAAAAGCCATACACTTGCGCGACCCTGCCAGGAGCTGACGTCCGACCGTCCAGTAACAGTGGGCAGATGGCAACAGGTTAAAGATCTGGGTTAAGGTCCACTTTAGTGGTCGGTGTCAGGTTTTTTTTGTCACAGTGCTGCTTTAGAACTGCTGAGTAGGAATGTATGACGTGCTGTAGCCTTGTAAAAATGTGACTGAAAAAAAAAAAGCATTTTCTAACGAGCACCAAAAACAAAATACTTGCTAGTACTGGCTTGGTACATTTTTGTTGGTTTTGATAACATTTTAACCGTTTCTCTGCCACGCCTTTCGGAGCGCTTTTGCCCTCAACTGGCCACACCACTTTTGCACTTTTTCCCAGCGTTTTGATTGTCTACTGCTGCGTTGCTAGCATTTGTAAAAGACACCCCAAACCATATATTTTCTGAAAGCAAAGGCCCGATAGAATAATAAGATTGTGCTCCTAATAATGTAGGTCCTGCGATAATTGTGACTGTTTATCAAGTCAATATTAAACCAATAAAAATACATAATTCAGTTGATTAAAGCACACTAAAATCCAGCATCTGTGCACACAAAAAAATACTTTTCTGACTAAATCTAAAAGATAAAACTGTAATGAGTTAATGGCAAATATTTTAAAATTGCGTCTTTTTGCGAAACGGCAAAAAATTTAAGTGGCGCAAAACTGTAAATAAGCGACTTGTGTTAAAAATCGTTTGCTCTCTGCTGGTGTATGTGTTGGGATAAAATGATACAGGCATACATTTAATTGCAACATAGCGTATCACAACGCTTTTACCATGCGCGGCCACAGTTAAATTAATGTTATTTTAAAAAGAAAACTCAGCCCTGCGATGTGTTGTAACAGCGCATGTGCATGGCCAGGGCTTGAAATAGGACACCATCACCGGACGAGTAGCTTCCTTGCCGGCCGTTGTAATTAGCCGGCCTGGAGCTTTTACTTTCAAGCAATCGACAGTCTCTAGAGACCCGATCGCTTGTATTAGCTGTGGTTTTACCCACTGCTGTTGCCGGTCCTGAGATCCGCTGTGCCATGTGCGACCGGGACTGGCACGGCTGCTCTGTGACAGATCAAAGGGAGATGGGTACACAATCTCCTCTGATCTCTCCGGCCCCCGAATGCAGGAAGTGATGTATATTGCATCACTTCCGCATTCAGCTGTCATTCCCCGCTACAGAAGCTGGGGAGAAGCTGATGAAGCAGATCTCTGCTTCATCAGTTTCTCTGGGGGTCCCGAGGTGACAGGGGTCTTGGAGACCCCTGATGTCTCCATAAAGAGGACCTGTCATGTAAATTGGAGCTTCTTAGCCCCCTATGTGATAGCAATAAAGTTAAGTGTAAAAAAAAAAATTTTAAGCATAAAAAAAATAACACAATTTTTCAATTTTATTTTTCTAAAGTTCTCCGCCCTCCACATACACACGCAAACATGCGTTGGGTGCACCTTTGTGCGCAAATGATTGTGCCGCACATGTTACATATCACCGCGAACGTTGGAATGTGAGCAATAATTTTGGGGCCATTAATCACTGATGACACTAATGAGCAGTTAAAGCGTTGCCTATGGCCAACTTTCGGTGTGGTCGTTTTTTTGTGAAATTTTTTTGTTTTTGTTTGTGGGCACGCGCAATTTTAAGGCTTCATATGTTTGGTGTCTATTTATCCGACATGACCCCATCTTTTATATTTTACCAAAAATATGGGTTAGATAAGAATAAAAATATTTTTTAACATAACGTAGGGAAAACTTTTTTTCTCTCTCTCGAAATTTACGGTACTTTTTCATTTTATATAGTAAAAAATAAACCAACCCCCCCCCAGTGGTGATTATATACCACCAAAAGAAAGCTCTATCTGTCCCCCAAAAAATGTTTACATAAATTGCAAGGCTATAGTCCAGTCATGACTGGTGACATTTTTGACTAAGACACCCTAAAAAAAATGTTAAGCCCTGTGCAATGGCATACACCACAATATGGTAAATACACCGGGGGGGAGGGGTGTTCTGCGTTGGTGGCAGAGAGAGGGTTACATGGAATAGATTTAGAACTTTTTTGTTTTTGTCATGCCTGTCTTGTATCGCATAGGCAAAATCGGATCATTGCAAAGGGTCTAGGGTTTCTGATTAAATAAGGCAGTTCCTTTTCCTTCCGGTTGCTAGTTGGGAAGACCAGTGAGGGATCTTTTAGTAACTATTATTTCATGTGTTCTCAAGTCTTAATAGACGTAACACTGCAGTTTTGTTCAGCAGCTTTATAGGAAGAGGTGAAAAGTATGCATTTGCATTACATCAATTAAACGCTGTCTACTGTCCAACACACGCAGAAAAGAAAAAAAACACAGAGCAAATGATGTTTCCAAATCATTCATCGTATTTGTACAGTTTTCAAGGTTTGGTTTGTAACGTTCAGTTTAGGGCTTTTATTGCAAATGGTAGGGTTTTTTCTTCCCAGCATGATACATGTGCCTTTTTTTCTGTCTTCAGCTAATGATGTGACTGGACTTCGAGAGTCTGAGGAAAAGTTAAAGCAGCAACAGCAAGAGTCTGCTCGAAGGGAGAACATATTGGTGATGAGGCTGGCCACTAAGGAACAGGAGATGCAGGAATGCACGGTTAGTCATTTTGAATTTATTTCTGAATAACTTACTCTGTAATGGTTGATTAATTTGTACTTGATAATGCGTAATCCATTGTTTTATATAGATTCATTTTAACTGGATTGAAGTGGCTTGAATAAACTGCAAAATGTCTAACAATTTTCAACATGTCCAGTTTAATCTCTTAATGACCGAGTCCTTTTTTTGTTTTTTTGCACCTATGTTATAATCCTTAATCCATTGCTATTACATAGGGGGGCTTACTAGCCCCCCCACGTGATAGCATATTGTCAGTGACAGGTCCTCTTCAAGGTGACCCCCCCTACTATCCCATTTCCACTTTAAGCTATTGAAGGGCAGATTGCACCACTTCAATAGCCTATTGCTGGGCTTCAGGAACCAAGCAATGACAGCTATGGGACCTGAAGTGATGTAATCTGCAGCACTCCCGGTCCAATAGAGCAAGGAGGAGATCTGCGAGCGGACGTTCGCCTCTCTCCTCCCCAGCTTCCTGCCGACACCCGAGATGCCAGTCCAGGGCCTGCAGGAGGGCCAGCGGAGCCCAGGAAACACGGCGGGGGTGTGGGCAGTTTACTGGCCCGTAGAAGACAGAATCGCTTCTATTGCAAAGACGGCTGCCTGCTCTACAAATGTAAGTAGAATAAAGCCACCGGGAGTCTGTTTAAACGCGCCCGCTGCCAGTGACATACTTTGCATGTTACTGGTCGTGAAGGGGTTAATGTGCCTAATTACTATGAGCTGGGTTATAAGAAAAAGTGTTAGTAGCTGCAAGTGTATGTACATTGCCATGATGGCTTTTTTTTCTGTGCTGTTTTGTGAAATGTGTCACTTTTTTTTTTTTTTTTTTTTTTTTTTTTTTTATATCAACATGTCAGGATAGACACCGAGGCGCTGACATTTTTGAATGTGCATGCTTCAGGGCTGTCATACTTGCACTGACCTGGAAGAGGTATGCACTGAGAAGGTGGCAGGACCCCACCTGCACATGTTTCAAGAATGAATAAGAGATGAAACTATTGTAAAGATCCCAGCCCCAGAGCATGCGCCTTTAAAGACAAACAGTGGTATCTCCATGTACCTATCATGCTGGGCTTTTGTAAGTGTAGGGCACACATTTGTTCATGTACACCCACTAAGCTTTTTATTTTAAACTGTACACCTCCTTGTTCATGCAATTGGTTAATTAGCCAGTTGTGTACCGGCAGCACAATACATAAAAATATGCAGGTTAGAAGCTCCAGTTAATATTTTACATCTAACAGTATAATGGGGGAAAACTTTCAAATCTCATTGATATTATTCATGGTGCCAAACAAGTTGCATTGAATGTTTATGTAGAAAGTCCACTTGAGCGCCAAACAGCTTTGACTATTGATATTTGTTCTCAGAGCCAACACAAAACAGCAAATGTGTTTTTGAGGGTTCAAAGATCTCCCCCTTTCTTAGGGCTTGAGTATAATGGTAAGATTTGAGGACTCAATCACCAGGGTTTACCTGTTTGCTGCATGAGCAAATTGGATATGGTTATGGCTGGAAAGTTATTTGATTCGTTTTTTACTTGAGTCCTCATCTTTCCACTAGACTTTGTACATGTGGCTCTTCATATCCCTGCTTTTGGGCCACCCTACTTTTGTTGAAAGCAGCCTTCCAGCGCCACTGTGCCTTGTCACAATCTGATGGATCTTCTGGTAATTTGAATCGAGCTCCTCATTTCTGCTTGTTCTTGAATATTTCTGTAAGTGTGGATTTCCTGGGATTTCCACGCACAGCCTCTAGAGGTTACTTGGAATGCTAAAATAAAAAAACATATATCCAGTGAGCAGAAAATGTTGTGGATGAGAGAAGTCAGAGAAGAATGGCCAAACTGGGCTATTCTGGCCAATAACTCAGGTAACCTCTCTAATCCACTGTGGTATACAGAAAAGCTTCTCAGAATGCACATCATGGGGAAACCGTATGGAGTATGGGCTGCAGCAGAAGACCACTTCTGGTTCCACTCCTTTTGGTCAAGAACAGGCACACCAAAACTGGACAGTTGAAGACTGAAAAGATGTAGCCTGGTCCTATGAATCTACACAATCTATACAAGCCACAGATTACCTTAGGCATTGTTGGCCTTGCAAGTGTATGTCAATAGAGAGGAGTAGAGGGAACACATGAGTGGTACAGGTTGGGAAGGACATTGGACAACTTGTCCTCTTGCTGTTCTTCCTAAACATTCTTTGTCATCAGTTCTCTACCTGCCATTGAAGACATCAGATGGTTGCCTGATATGGCAGGATTGACCCGCTGTCATACTATCTCTGTGAGCTTCAGTATTACTCTTCATTTGCCAGTTTGCTTTAGCTTTCACATTTGCTCATATTTACTCGCTGGCATATAGTTTTTAGCCTGAATAGTAAGTAGTCTAGTCAGTGGTTAAAAAACTTGTCCTAGGATGCAATGCACACAGACCAGCGAAAAGGCACTTCTTGTGTGATTTGGAGGTATTTTGCATAGGGTGGTGAGGAATCTTGTGGTTTTTCAGAAGAGTAAAGGCCGTGACACACTGCACGCGAAGCCGTGCAGAGCGAAGCAAAGCTCTCCGGCACGGAGCTTCGCGTGCAGTGTGTGAGCTGAGTGCAGTCAGATGATTGACTGCACCTTCAGCCAATCGGCTCGTCTGTAACAACCGGCCAGACGTTGCATCCCGTCGGTTTATACGCGCGAGCCGATTTGCTGAAGTTGAATTGTTCATCTCGGCACGCTCAGCTCTGCGAGCTCTCGCAAGCTGAGGTGCCCAGAAGAAAGTGACATGACACACTGCTCGCAAAGGCAGCGCGCCACCGCTCCGCGCTGCTTCGCGTGCAGTGTGTCATGGCCTTAAGATTTGTGCGATGTTCAAGACCTATGAAAAGGCAGAAAGGTGACCGCTATGTTTTCATACTAAACATCTATTACAACCTTAGCTGAGGACACATCTGTTACCCTTCAAGGAAAATGAGCCCCACACACATTGCCATCCACCAGTGTCTATTCCGTATTTAATAAAATCAGACTTTGATTTTTGATTCAACAAAATATTTTAAATAAGACCTCCCGCCCAAATGAAAATGACAAGAATAAAAATGATGGGCTCCTCGCCTAAGTTGTTTTTTTTTTTTTTTTGCACAACCCTTTGAGGAAAATACTGCAAACAAGATGTTTCTGTAGCTCGTGGTGAAACTTCTACACCTGCAACAGGTGGTTTGTCCTACTTCAGAAAACTACCTCGGCTGTCTTAGGTTTGAAGGATGCCTTCTACAGGCTGCTTGTTTTAGATCTTTTCATAGATGTTCATTATGATTCCGCTCAGAGATCATAGAAGACCATTTCAGAATAGTTCAATGTTTTGTTCTTGGCCATTCTATGGAGCATTTAGCTGTGTAAAAACTGTAGAGCCAGCACACAATGATCTTCCAAAGAAATTCAAACTTTAGTCAACTTGCATCTATACAAAGAACCGCTGACGCATTTCTGCCTTACCCGGCCTTAAGGCAGAAACGCATCAGACGTTCTTTGTATAGATGCAAGTGGATTAAAGTTTGAATTTCTTTGAAAGATCGTGTGCTGGTTCTACAGTTTTTGAGCCCATCATTCAAGGAGAGAGTCATCCGTGCACCGAATGTGGATTACTAGGACGCATAATAGGGGTGAGCTGTGCGCTTTGTTTTTCTAGCATTTAGCTGTGTGTTTTGGGTTTCCTGCTGGAGGACCCATGATCTGTGACTTTGACAGAGCTTTCTGACATTGGGCAGTACACTTTGCTCCAGAGGTTCTAACTAGTCTTAAGATTTATTTGTGCCCTGCACAGGATCAAGGTATCCTGTGCCATATGCAAGAAAAACTGCTTCAAAATATGCGTGCCTACTCCATGTTTTATATTAGATGTTTTTTGTTTTGACGTGCCAAAAAGCTTCAGTTATGTCCCATCTGTCCAAAGTACAATCTCCCAGAGTTTGTCTTTACCTTTATTAAAAATTGCATAATTGTCTTGTTAATGTTTCTTTCTTTGTAAACTTAATTTTGCCTCAAAAAGCCACAGATGTAGTTTAAAACACTACAAAAATGTTAGCAAAGCAATCTATCAATGTTCTTCACAGATTTTATTTATTTTCATTTGCAACATTTTGCTGATTTGTGTACTGTTTTAGAAGTACCAAATTCTTGTTGCAGTCTCGGCATATTAGTCATTTTTTTCTTGTTTTGACTTCTCTGCAGAATCAGATTCAGCACCTCAAACAAGTGCAGCAGCCCAGCGTTGCCCAGCTGAGAACTACAATGGTTGACCCGGCTATCAACTTGTTTTTCCTCAAAATGAAAGCCGAACTGGAACAGACTAAAGACAAACTGGAACAAGCCCAAAATGAACTGAGTGCCTGGAAATTTACGCCTGATAGGTAAACAAACCAAATACTTCCCAGTCAAGACTTCCCTGACAATCCCACTGCGAGAATACTATGGTGGGATGGCCAAGTACTCGTTTTGCACACCAAGACTCAGACTCTTGTGAGCCAAAAAAAGCACCTTTCTTACATTATCCAGCTTATATTGCTTAATGTAAAACTTATCAGATGAACCTTGTATTTCAGCTTTTTATTTTCCTCCCCTCATTTTGCTTCAGAGGCCAGAGAGCGTCGGACTATTCCGAAGAAGCAGCCACATCCGGCAGTGTCCCCAGTTCTAGAACCCTTAGACACTTGCAGAAATGGTTCTGAGTGAAGAACATACAGGGGGAAAAGAAGTCCTATGTGTCTGGCACACTGTGTCAGCAGCTATTTTATGGAGGAGAGAACCTAGTATTTTTTTTTTTTCTTTTTGCCATAAATTTCATGAGTTGAACATGTTAAATCCCCATAAAAGGTTTTTAAAAGGTGGAAATTTACCGTTTACCTTGAGCCTAGTGACTTATAGACATTTTAAGGCCGTATTTCCAATTAAGACTCTGGACTCCATGATTCTTCAATGAACTGTTGAGCCCAATCAAACGGTGATTTTTGTCTTAAAAGGGGTTGTTTTGTAGTAGCCCATGGTGCATAAATGTGATCCATCACTCTAGTGTAGTGCATGCTTTTCCTCTACCAGCCAGTATGTATCTTTTTGTTTCTCTTATACAGCTGGTATTTAGATTGCTTCAAACACACTTCTTTGTGGTTTATCCAGTGGACAAAAGTTTGCCTTTTTGAGGAAGGTGATGTCACTTTCATGGAAATTAAGTTTAAGACCTGAAAATAAGCATTTTGTGGCTATTCTGACTATACGTGACATTTTATACAGTAGATTTGAAGAGCATGCCACAGACTTAATTTTCAGGCTTGTTGGTAATAACCATTACTATCGATCTGCCTGCATTAAGTCCTTCTTCTTTTTTTTTTATTATTATTTTTTTTCCCCCCCCAACATATATTTTTGTTAGTGCCTATGGATGCCATAAACTACAATGCACTTTGGTGAAAATCTGATTCCCCCTATGAGCAGAAACCTTCTTTAGAGTTTTTTATTTTTACTTTTTTTTTTTTTATATATTTTCATTTTGGAAATAAGCCATAAAAGGGAATTAAAAGTCATATTTCGTTTAGGAAAACTAAGGAACAAATGTCTCTAGACGTTTCTATCGAATTAGATCTTCTGTGAAGATGTTAAGGTACATGAAATTTGTGCTCTTTACGTATAACAAGTAATCACAATCTTTTCATAGGTTCTGTTTGCATTGATTGTCCATATTTCTTAACCATGTTGTGAGACATAGTAATATACACATGTTGGGCATGTGCACAATTTAAAATAAGTGTTGACTATATTTTTATTTTATAAATAAGGTAAGTGAGTTCAGAACCTGCTGTACTCAGTATATGTAAGTCAATTATGGCTGACTTTCAGAAGATATAATAGGTTGAACATGTAAAAGCTTTCTATAGCAAACTGTTGCCTCATTGCAGTAGTTTCATTTTTTTTTTTCTTCAATTAAAACGCTGAAGTGACTGCCAATGTTATAATGCAAATATTGTGTTTCCTGTTTTATTAAGTTAACCCCAAAAAGTTTAAATAAACCTGGATGCAGTTTATTGGCTACCCATTGACATATGTTGTAAAACTACATTATAAAGAAGTAAAAAAAAAAAAAAAGAGTTGGTAAAGATATTTGAAGATTCAGGCCTTTTGGAAGAGGTATTGCAAATTAGCCATCAAGTTGAATCACCTTGTGATTTTGGTATCTCTGTTGGTAAGATTCAGTTCATACGAAGCTGCACTCCTGACGATACTAGACTTTCAAAACATAAGTAGTTGTTCGCGGTGATCGTGTCAGATGCTCCACGGCAAAACCAGATGAAGGGATATGAGGTCACCAGCACGCCAGACATGTCATTATATCTTACAAATTTATTGAGGAGAGTTGTGTCACAGACATTCATACTGATGTTTCAGGGCCCTACAGGGTTCCTTTCGCAACATAGAGTAACAATGTGGCCTTGAGAAAGGAACCATGTGAGGCCCTGAAACGTTGCTATGTATGTCTGTGATGCTGTTCTTAACAATGAATTTGTTGGCAAGATTTCACTGTCCAGACAAAAGCACAGTCGGCTTATCCTTTTCGGCAAAGTGCCGCTCTTTATATTCTTTCCTGAAAAAGGAATCTGGATGATTTGAGATTACAGTGCATTTAAAGCAGGGAGATCTGTTAGTCGTTTGAGAGGTAAAATCATTGGGTGATTCAACTCTAGCTTTTACCAAATACTGAAGTAATTATGTTTGATTTGCTAAATACCTTTTTATTTCTTGGTGAGAACAAATTATTCTTAAGGTATTAGTACATAGAGGGATGTGTGTATGATCTTGATAATGGGAGGGTGTGTCTTGGAAAGGATCTTTTGAAGGGTTGGAATTTTTAGAGGACAACTCAAACCCCTTTTTATAGGTACCTCAAATGTTTTCTATCAAATGTTTTTTCATAGTTCAATTGAGTTGCATGTCTTTTTACTTCCTTCTCTTCCCCCCTCCCCTTTTACTCACTTTGGACAATGGGGCTTGGTTGACAGGTGATCCTAATGCCATCTGTGGAAGATGTGTAGGTTATGGGAAATTAATACTTTGAAATTTTAGGCTCAAAACTTTGTATTTGTATTAGTTTCGTGTTTTGATCGAGAAGTATTGAAAATGTTTATAACATGAACAGGAATAGTGATGAGTTTTGTAAAGTGATAAATGCCATAAAATCTGCCATGATACATTTAAATTTGTTCACAATTTGCCATTTGTTTAAAAATGTGATTTTAATATGGATCTTGAACTGGTAGAGACTTTAACCAGCTTTTGTGCCTATAAAACAGGACTGGGAAATGAAGTCCCCTTAATCAAGTAAGTTGCCTTTTTATAGTTGATGACAGATGAATTGATAAAACATATGTAGAATGTGTATGTTCAGTCCTGTATATGTATCAACAAACAGTAGTGGTATGTGCTCACTATGAACATAACTGCATCTTAATATATTCAAGTATAACTGCACTTTCACATTTTATCAGATTTGAGCTATATTAATTGTAAATACAATGGTATATATTTTATTAGTGATTCCCGGTCCCAGCCCTGCGTTACATGAGCTGCATGTACTGAAGCCATCCTGCTCGCCCATAGTCGGCAGTTGGTGGTTGGGGTTTTTTCAGCTGAATAAGTGGCAGTCTTGTACAAAATCTGCCTTTCTGTCAACCAGCTGCACACTAGTGGTGGGTGGGAGTGATGCCTTGTAACCCAGGAGCAGAACTGTGGTTCTCATCATTTTTAAAATTGATAAATTACCAATTGGTAGGAAGGGAACCTTGCATGAAAATGCAAGGCTTGCTTATCTTGGAGCTCCTGACTCCTACATATAAAAACATTAGGTGAAAGCAGAAATAAAATTGGAGGAAAAATTTAAAAACTACTTGCCTTACATCTTAGCTTCCAACATGTTCACCTAGGTGACGGTCACATAACTGGCCCTTCTAGGTTCCTGGGACAGCTAAGGATCCCAAATCCTTTGAGAATACACAGTGCCTGAACATGATCATCTTGTGCGATATAACATTTTCAGCTTTCCAGGATCCAACGAGAAGGCCCAGTGATCTCAGCCCTCTCTTAGCCAAAGCATCTAGATGCCAGGTCGGATGGTAAGTCAGGATGCACTGAAATTAAATTTTTTAGACTGACATTTCAAAATTTGTCAGACCGAAACTGAGAATGACTGACTACTTTTTTTTCCCCCCCCTTCCCCAACCTTTTTGAAAAAGTTATTTTTATTTTTTATATACTGTTGGGGGCTTTGGGGAAATATCAGGGGTCCAGACCCCTAATATTTTCCTTTTTTAAAATTGAGACACACTGTCTTCAATCTTTCTGCAGCCCCAACACTCAATGATCAGGAAGCTCTCAGTACAAGAGGGTTCCTGTTCATTCACAATCTGGAGAAAGTAAATATTCACCATCAATCTAGTCATGAATGGACAGGAAGCTTCTGTACTGAGCTGCTTCTGCTCATTCATAAAGTGAGCAGATATGTCCACAATCATGAATGAACAGAAAGTGATGTATAGCATTTCCTGTTCATTACTAGGGACATTGTAAATAACTAAGGACATAGTGATTACAAAACTCTGAGCGATCAGTACTGATCACTCTGTGTTTGTGCTGCGCTTTCCATGATGACTGCTCCGCCCCCCTCCTCCCTGTCACTGGAGCCAAGCTCTCATTCCCGTACCACCCTCCTTCCAATCCTGACGGCTCCTCTCCTCCCATCTACTCTTATGTCCCCTCCGATCCCTGCTGCCTTTGTCAACACAGGCAGGGCAGAATAGCTGGGATTGGAGGGGACACTGACCGAAGCTTGTGGGGAGGAGAGAAGCTGGGGATGCAACACATTTTTTTTTACCTTTTCACTTTTTTTTGTGCAGGGGGTCTGGGCTCCAAGATAGATAAACCTTGCTTTAGGGGCTGATAATGTGAAAATAGAAGTACAGTCATTCAGTGGTAAGTACTTATGTAGCCAGTGATATATTTTTTTTGTGCTAACTGTAAATTAATCCTTTCCGCATTCAAATAAGATTCTGCAGGTTTGTCCACTTACATTCTCTGCCTTGCAGCAGGATGAAATGCATACGGACATCCTTATACGTCCTGTACAAAGTGGTTTAAAGCAAACTGTCCGCTATTTCAAAACATTTCTGAAAACTTGGCCACTGAGGCACTCTTACTAGAACAAAGGAAAACTAGTTTTAGCAGATTTTTTTCTGACTAATAAAAGTAGAAGCAGGCATTTTTTATTATTATTTAAAGTTGGCTAACAGGATCAAATTAAAATTTATACATGTAGATTTGAGAAGCAATATCATTTTTTTGTGACAATCTTAAGTATGAAGTTAATTCT